CCAAAATGATTATCCTCAACTTCTTGTAAGAGGCAAGATGGCAGCCAGCCAAGAACTCATTAGTTCTGTAGAGATGCTTTCCCCAAAAATAGGAAAATGAAAATGCACCAAAAGTTTCACACAGCTTTAAAAGTCAGTGTCGGTAGATTTAAGTACTAGGACTACAAAATCCATCCTACTATCTGTTGAGAGGTGATGGTTTCATTTCTCTGAACACAGCATGCAAATCTTGCTTGGCCACGTCTCCCCCCAAAATTTGGAGGAAGGCTGCTAACGAGAGTGTGGGTCTAAGATTTCTTGCCCTCAGACACCAAGGTTAGCTGGGAAGAACTTGTGGGGTATCTTATTTTGGCACTTCCAAAATATACTCAGTTTTTTATTTATTTTTACTTAGGAAATTTATAGGCCGTCTGCATCACTGTCGTCTCTGGACGGCTTACAGAATTATTCTAAATCCAAAACAAAACAAATTAGCTATTCCATGAACTGCGCATAAAACTGACGTATTTAAAATAAATTAAATAAATCATATACAATTAACATTGGTTGACGCTAAAATATTGATCAAATAAAAAGGTCTTGACCTGGCGCCGAAAAGCATATCCTGATTGAAGTGCTGCTTTTGAACTGTAAATCCTTGCCCTGTCGGAAACCGTGGGATGGGCTCCTGCAGCGAGCAAGCCCAGCTTAAAAGTAACCATGAACCAAACTCTGATGCTAGTGCCCAAAGGAATTCTCCCAGGACGGGGGTATGGGAGGGCACCACGGAGCCCTCCTGAGCTGGCTCACACGGACAACGCCCTGTGCAAAGCAAAAACTCTAAAACGAAGTCAACCTTTTGGTGTATTTAGTACAGAAACAGATCATGAGCCAGAAGGGGGCCCCCAGCCCCAGCCGGCTCCGCTCATGACATGCCCACCGTGTGCATGGCCAGCCTATCCTTGAACACCCGCTCCGATGGGGCTTCAGCCACCTCCCGTGGAAGCCCCTTCCATACTTTATTTATTTATTTATTTATTATTAAAACATTTCTATGCCGCCCCTTGCTGAAGCCTCGGGGCGGCTCACAGCACAAATAAGATACAATAAAATGCCAAAATAACAATATAAAATTAACAATATAAAATAAATAACAATATAAAAGAAGTTGCCCTGGCCAGATAAATAAGCAAATATTGTTAACAATTAAAATGACGTTTAAGTAAAAAGGTCTTCGCCTGGCGCCGAAAAACAAATAACGATGGCGCCAGGCGGACCTCTCTGGGGAGCGCATTCCATAACTTAGGCGCCACCGCAGAGAAAGCCCTCCTCCAAGTACTCACCCTTCTGATTTCTTTCATGGAGGGCTCCCGGAGAAGGGCCTCTCCCGCAGATCTCAAGGGGCGGCCGGGCATATATGTCAATTAAAATGATACAAGGACCTGTTCTCACATACTCCCCCCGCTCATTCTCATGTTGAGCAGTCGTGTCCACCCCACTGGGTTCCTCTCCGTTCTCCCCAACCCCAAATCTCACCTAGGACAAGTTCGGCAGCAGACGCAAGCTGAACAAATCGCTGGGTCTCTTCTCCAGGTTTGCAAGCAAGGATGTGATCTTGCGCGGCAGACAGCTCCCTTGTGCCATCTTCGCCATGCCTGGTTTGCTGTCGGAAGCCATTCCCTAATGCTCCTCAATTAGCAGTTAGACACTCCAGAAAGGGAAGACCGGGAACTGCATTGCCAGCTGGTACGGTGGATACTGGAACAGGCACTGCCTTTAATAGCCTTATTAGCCAGTATCTTGCGTGCAAATATGCACAGAAAATCTAAGCACAGTCTAAAAGCGCAGGCAGAGGGGAACCGTGGAGGATAAACTCTGCCGGATAAACTCTGTCGTTCGTTCGCTACCCCTCTGCAGAGAGCCTTCTCACATGAATCTTCTTCTGGCCTTCCTACAAGCTGTAGCTGGTACAAGATGAAAGGGGAAGGTGGCTGTCAGAGGAACTGGGCTTAGCTGACCCTATGGCAGTTGGGTGCCACTAGTCCGTTAGACTAGAGCAGACCTGGCCCAGAGCATGAACTGAAGGCCCATCGGGTGTCCACCATGAAGCAGCTGAGCAGGTCCAAGGGCGGGCCTGAGCCTGGAGGGGAGACCCCTTGGAACTGTACGGAGCCCCCTTGAGTTCCACAGTGGGAGAAAGGCGGGGCCTAAATAAAACGCTCAAATAATGGATTGCTACTAGGCGCAAAGCAGGAATGTCCGCAAGAACGCACAACCGTCAACAGAAGCCACCAAATGTAAACAATAATCGTAGAAGGATCAATAGTAGAAGAGTCAACCAGCAAAGATGAGTAAAAAGATGTTTGACATACCAGTGAGACTATTAAACGACGGGGGGACTTTGCCTAGGCCCCAAATCACACTAACACAGGAGACTAAGAGTTGGCTAATTCAGGAATCACCACAGTTAAGGTCCGCTCTTTCTCCGGATGCTACCCTGAAGGTGGACACCCAGGGGAGGACCGTGGAGAAACACCTCCACTGGCCAGAACCGGGTGTCCATGGGTATGGGGGGGGGTGCTTTAAACACCCCCAGGCTCTGAATGTTTCAGGCTTAAGTACTGTCCTCAAACCTTACAGGTAGAAGCTTCAGAATTTTGGAGCCAAGTCTTAGCTATGGAGACAAGCTTGAAACAAGCAAAATTTACATTCTACATTTGGACTCAACCAGAGTACGTCAAGCTCACAGCTAGTGCACATGGGTTACTTGCATGTTTCAGCAGTAAAGTTTTTAGGTGCTAATATAATCCTTTAAAAAAACCCTCACCAGATCCCTCTGGGATCACTGGATGATCCCCGCAGTTAAGGAACACGGGAAGTCCCAGAAATCCAGCAACAGTAGAAGAGTTAAAATGCTTAACACAGGATTAAATATTAGAGGGAAAGAGAACTTGGCACTTAGAAACTAAACTAATTAGAGTGCCTTGGAAGACTTGCAAGTTTTAATTTGGAAGCACTTTTGCCATCAGCTCAAAATGTAGTTTTGATCATTTTCTTCTCCCTCTCCTTACATAAAAGTGGTGTATTGTGTCCAACCATACCAAGCTGTTGAAAAAAATAAAATAAAAAGAAAACCTGATTTCGAAACAAAAACATTGTTCCTGGCAATTAGTACATTAAACAAGACCATTTTCTTCGGCACATCATGACTTATACCCTGAACAAGCAACCAAACAATCAATACATCCTCTCCCCTAGACTCCTGATATCAGTCATGGAGAAAAGTTACCTTGACCACATCAGGAGACTTAACACTTTGGCTAGCAATTTTAACAACTGGCTAAGCAGTCTCAGCTCCTCTTGCGTTAAGGCACACTCTGAGCTTTTACTGCCCAGCTTGAATTTGCCTGTTATGACTGAGAGGTTACAGAATGAAGGAGGTGATCAACCAGAATTGATCAGAGACCACAGGAGGTAAAGATGATGCAGCCAGAGACTCAGGAAAGTGCATTTAGGCATCACTGGTCTACTACCTGTTTGATTGCTCTGTAATGCTCAACAAGGAAATAGGAGATACATGGCCACTAATGCTTCTGGCACATAAGAAGCCAGAAACCCAGATAATTTCTGGAATCTCATGTTGGCGCTGCGTTCAACAAGAACCGACATTGCTAAAGCCCTTGCAAGAAACAGGCAACACTGACAGAAGGACCACAGAGTACTGGCCGGGGCGGCTTATTTTATCATGTGTGTTTTAAATTATTATGATTATTTTATATGTATATTTTAACTTATTGGTTTTATCTATTGTTGTGAGCCGCCCCGAGGCTTCGGCGAATGGGGCGGCATAAAAATGGTTTAATAATAAATAAATAATCAATACTGGCACACTTTGCTGCTATTTCACGTTACAGATATAACCATTCTGAAGATGCCCTTCTGCTTGAAATCTTGGCATGTCTCAGCAAGGTGGGATCTCCAAGCTTCTTATAAGATGAAAGATTCTAGCAACAGACTTGTATCAACCTTTCAGCCCTCCTTGACATGGAAAAGCGGTGTTGTTGACCATGGGACTAGAATAGCCAAAAATATGCAAGAGCAGCCAACTCATGACCTGAAACGAACTAATGATCCCGCCCCGCTTTGCCCAAAGGATGCTCTGTCAGCTCAGGAAATGCTGGGCCAGTGGCAACCGAGAACCTGATCTAGAACCTCAATTCTTCCACTCCTATTTCAGGGATTTAATAGAAACGCCTTTGACAAGAAAGCTGGAAAATGCAGTTTGGTTATTCATTCACCCCAAGAACCAACGCCTACTTCTCTTTGATCCTACTCATGCCTTATATGAAACAAACACAACGAAAGTGTAAAGACGTCAGCTTAAACTTTCCTAAACTCAGAAGCAGCCGGATGCCATCAGCAGTTCTGCTAAAACTACCAAGTGAAAACCAACCAGTGGCTCAGCAGCTCCCTCCCCAATTTCAGAGGCTTCGCAGAATCCAGGCTTGGCAAGATTAGCCAGCTTCCCTTAGCCCTGATGGCACATCCCTGGTTAGCAAGCATCCCAAGGGAAAAAGCCGCATCCAAAGGAAGCAAAGCAAGAGACGCACCCGGAGGCAGAGAGACACTCAGGACTTTTCGACTGTGGGCAGATGCGCAGTTCTGTTTTCCACAGCGATGTCTCGTTCCAACTTTGCACGTCCCCCGTACGTAAGCATCCCAACCCAGCGCATGATTCGAAGCTCATTCGCATGGCGAAGCAAGATAATGGAATGATGCTTGTACAGGGAATGTGGAAGCGCCGTCCTGGGCTCACTTCGCAACAACGGACAGGGCCAGGGCAGCTCCCAAGGGCTGACTGGCCAGTGACCTTTCCCAGTGTGCATCCCCAGTGGCCAAGCGATGGTATGCTCACATCTCCACATGCCCCTCAATGCTCCTCGGGCCAAACTGGAGCGGTTTCATAAGCACAGGACAGCAAAAGCCACGTCAGAATCAAAGCAGCCTCCCGACATCCCTACCTGCTCGCGATGGCAGAATTCTGCTCTTTCAGGACAAGCTCCCGTTCCTGCAGGGCAATGATGTGCCGAGAGAGATCGTCCGGGCTCCTGGAAAAGTGGAGAATGCAAGATAAAGTGCATGTGTAGGAACAGAACCCTCCCACATCTGAAATACATTATTCACTGACAAGTAATAGTATTATCAAAAAACGACTCATATTATCAAACACAAGTAATGCCCGATATAAGCAGATACTTGAATTTCTTGGTTGAACAAATGGGAAATTATGTATTATTTACATGTTTTCGGGTATACTGGATGCCCAGTTAATACTGAATCTGTTCTGTCCCTGCCATCTGGTTTTTACAAAACAAAACAAGAGATCTGTAGCTGATACAGTTTTCATTACGCAGAACATGGATACTTGGAAAGAGCAACTTGTGCTCACTTAGAGTAAAAATCGCCTCCAGGAGAAATCTAAGAATTTCTGCCTAATCAAATTTCTGCTCACTCTTTCACCCTTTAATGAGGCAGCAGGTCGCAAACACGACAGGAAATTGCGAGAAAACGGGCTTGTAACTTTTTAAAGACATCTTTCTGGTCCAACCGGACTTATCCAAAACCCTAAACTTAAGGACTTCTTTCATTGCAATACCTTCTACAGAATACCGTCGTTATTTGTTTTTCGGCGCCAGGCGAAGACCTTTTTATTTAAGCGGTATTTTAATTGTTAATATTATTGGATTTTATCTGGCCAGGGCGGCTTATTTTATATTGCTATTTTTGTATTTTTAACTTAATGTTTATATTTTTTAATTTAATGTTATAATTATTTTTTAACTTATTGTTGTAAGCCGCCCCGAGGCTTCAGCAAATGGGGCGGCATAAAAATGTTTTAATAAATAAAATAAATAAAGAATGGAAGCAACACGCAGCATCTTACAAAGGTTAAACGTGACCGAAGGTTTAAGCTGGCAAAGGAAACTGCCAAAACGGTTCCTCCCAGTCTTCCAAAGCTCAACAAGGGCCCAAATTACTCTCCCAATTAGCCAGTGAATCAGAGCAACCCCATCTCTCAGCCTGGTGTGGGTTTCCAAGCGCTACACAGCACTGCCCTCTGTTGAATCCAGCACTGCCAAGGTTGTGGTATTGCAAGTAAGAGGTTTCAAACCAGTTGTTCGATCGACCTGAACAGGGGAAACAAACACTGACAGTGTTTTTAAGTGTTGCGGTTCATAACTGGGGGGAAATTCTTCTTGGAGCAAAGGACCAGCCATTTCTACAACATGTGGAAATGCTTTAATCGAAATAGCTAGATGAAAAGCATATTTGACAGACGTGACCTGCCGCCATTTGGGACAGAAACGGAGCACTCAGAACTTGATCTTCTCTTCTGTGCAAAACGTCAGCGGAGAAATTTGTTCCTCCAAATCAGATTTTGAGGAACATATGATCACATATGTCTGAGAAAACCATTTAGAACACCAAATCCTACTAGAAATCAATTGCATTTTAGGTATCCTATCATGAAACAAAAGATACTAATATACAAGCGCTAACTAAGCAAGCTTATGTCAATTCAGTTTTCTTAATTTTATTAACTCCTTCCCTTTTTAGGGATTCGTGGGACTTCTTCAAAGATTCATGAGACCTTTCACAAGTAATATTGATTTGCTTATTCACAGACAACTCTATTAGAAATAACTTATACCTCCTCTAGAAACCCTGCTCCAAGTTTAAATTTTGCAGAATCATGATCATCACCGTCGCCATCTCTATACTGCCCGTAGCCAAAGCTCTCTGTGCAGTTTACAACAATAATCCTAGAGTCAAATCCTCAAGTCACCCATCCAGATTTTAACCGGGCCTGACCCTGCTTAGCTTCCAAGATCACCCACAGCATCCCCCCATGGCAGCAGAAGGCAACTGAGGAGTATTTGGTGTGTGTGGACTCCCGCTAGCACTTAAGAAACCTTTCCCATTCATTTCCTTTAAAGACAGGTGAACGTGAGAACCCTATGCTATAGATGTCAACATGAGAACTAGAGAATGTAACCGTATATAATTAACAGAAGAAGCGTAACAGGAATCAAATCATTTAAGAGGAAGAGAAAACAAAGGAGGGTTAGAGTGACTTAATTGCTTTCTTCAAAGTCTCCTGTTCCCATTCAGGGGTCAGCATGCAGGAATTCAAGTATATCTAATTAAAATAAGCCGAAAGAAACACAAGCAAACAGCGCATAGTCTCTACATATGCAAGAAGCAATTACAGCACCAAGTGTCCAAATGAGAAGGACATGCATGCAGTTAATTTAAAGAAATGCATATTTCTGAACCTGACTAGGAACGACAGACACAAACTTGAAGCCAAATACTGTTTGATTCGGGGCCCATCAGCCTTCAGATCATGTAGCCTGAACCCAACAGTGACATCATAGGAGTCAACATAGAGCAACATTTGCTGCCAAAACCAAACTGGAAATCGGAGCTGGCAAAGCAAAGCAAACCTAAATTATTCTGTAGTGTTTGACAAGAGCAGAGATAATTTTGACAGTTCAGTATGCAAAGCAATAAACTCTAAAATCAAACTGCTATCTCTAAAGGTGATTTATCTATTTACTTAAAAAAATAATCATGGATCTGGATGTTTCTGGTATGGAACACTCAAAATCAGTGGCTTGCGTCTGTTGTGATATTAAGAATAATTAATTCTGAATCCAACCCAAAATGTTTAAATCAAACGGCTTAATGGATGGATAAATCTGTCATATTTTTTTCAGGATATATAAACATGATGTTTTTCTCGAACAGCCAGAATGTATTGGTTCATTTCAGTTCATTTCCCATATATACCCAACAGGGCTGCCATGCGTTGCAAACTCTTCCTCCAAGTTCCAAGACAGGGGGGCTTACCTGTCGAGTCTAACCTAGGGCTGCATTTCTACCTGATGCCTGATTAGCTGGACTTCATCATGGCCCCCATATTCTGTATTTAGACGCACACAAACCATGGCTTTTATCCAACAAGTAACAAACACATCCATAAAAACAGACAAGAATAGCTGCTACTTACATGTAAATCTAAGAATCAATTCAGTTTTTGCCTGCTTCTCCTGAGCAAACTGCAAGGGGTATGAGCAGCATTTGTTCTGTCTGGAGAACAAAGCTCCAAGCAAAACCTCGTCATTATCCAAGTAGAAATAACCAGCATTTAGAATTCAGAGGTACAAATGCTGCCCAAGGAGTCACATTAGCCCAATATTAGAGCTTAAGGCAATAAAAAACAAAAACTGCTCTTAAGCAAAGCTTTTTGGATTTCTTTGAAGTGTAGATAATTTGAAGTGGAGTAATTTAAAGATGATTTTCGAAATTTAAAACCATTCAAATGAAGTGAGAAGTCGGCTTCATGGCAGCAGCAACGCTGCAATTTTTGGAAAAGCTTCCGAGAGCTGGTGCAGCGAACGAGCCGCGAGCTCAGCTATCCCCGGTTCAGACGGTCACCTTGCCTGCAAACTCACTCCGTGGCCGAGTGTGCCAGACCAAACCCCCCGTTAAGGGGGCCGCCACTTACTTACCTGCAGGGGCTGTTTTAAGGATGGCTGGGACAGAAGATGGTATACATCGCTCTCAAGTGAGCCGACCAATTCATGGAAAAATAAAATGAATTTAATAGCTGTGGATTTAAGTAGTTACTTAATGTAGCAGAAAAGAAAATAACATGAACAAGGAGCATTCCAGTGGAAAAACAGCCCGAGCTTTCTGCAAGTTTAAAGAAAATAATCAAGAGTTCATGCCGTATAAACACAGTAATAAGTGCTTGCAATATTGAATTCTGGGCAAACGCAACAGCCACATTTACCCAGAGCAGCAACCCTGTCTCGGGGGGCCGCACATGCTCTCTGGTGACTGCAGCTTGTTCCCCCTTCCCCACAGGAGCAACAGCATAGCTTGAAGTGCCGGAGGCTGTCTTCCCTTGGAAGCTAAGCAGGGCCAGGCCTGGTTAGAATCTGGATGGGGGACTTGAGTCGCACACTGGGTGGGTTGGACCTGATGGCCTCCTCGGCCTCTTCCAACTGGATGGGTCTATGACAAGGCAGAGTCTCTTGGTCCACGGGTGGTCTGGCATGACATCGGGGTTTCAACAAGGCTTAGGGCTCTAGTTTGTTAGGAGAACAACAAGCCCAGTTCAGGTATCATGCCATTCAGATGTCCTGCTACGGAAGTCCTGGCATGAGCTGCCGTGATCAAAAAGCTCACAGCAGTATGTTTGCTCATTCACAGAAAGAATTTAAAATAGTAACTGGCTGGCTGGGAAAAGCCAACTGGGCCAATTTAACTAGGCAGCATCACAGATATCAGACCCAAGAGCTCTTTCCACGCACTTGATTCCAGTGTATGATCTTTCTAAGCCCATCTTTGCCAGTAGACCTCAACGCCCAGGCACAGGAGTTAAAATGACCCTGAATTCCAGGAGCCAGGTAAGCCAAGATTTCAAGAATGAAGGACATGGCTTTGAAAGTGGTATAACTTCCCAGAAAGAGTTGTCAAAAGTTTGAGCAGTGTAGATTCTTCAAATTAGAAATCATGGACCTTATGTGATGCGATGGAGGAAAACATTCCCTCCAGTTCTTGTTTTTGCCTGACAGAGGCTGTTCCTTCCCCCGGAGAGCTGTTTGAGGAAACTAATTAAATTTACCAAAAAGCAAACCAACATTCTGGCGGTTGTGTCCTCCTCTATCAGCCTATGCAAGAAAAAGCCAGGCCTATTCCTTTACTATAGACTGCTTTAGAGACTGGAATTTACTAGCAGTTAACAGTGACCTAACATTTCAGGGCTAGTCACTGTGTACAACGCCAGAGAAGACAAGTATCTACCCTGATGGAGACATCTGGGAGAGCAGGTTTATTCCAATTAATTGGGTGCATAGATAAATTGCTGGGAACTAAGGAAAAGACTAACCTCTCAGCTCTTAATGATGACGAGCAGTCCTGTGTACAAGCGCAATTTGTAGAACAGCTTACCCAGAGGGATGTGCTTTACTTGCTTTGCTGTTGTGTGAGACCAGGGCTTGGGAAAGAGGGCTGGCCAGCAAGCGTGACAGGGAAT